AATTTCGTAAAGAACGAATTTGGTAACTTTTTTAATCTTATAAAGCATGCGAAAATTTGAGAAGATCATCTCAAATTTTTTGAGAAGATCACCTCAAAAAATTTGAGATGATCTTCTATTCTGAAATCTCATTACGCATCCTCTTCATTTCTTTTTAAATATAAAGACTTAACCTTATTCCAAACCCTTATAATTTCAATGTCAAAGCTATGGTTATTTGCGGAAGTATGCCTATTCCTACTTCATATTCAAATTTAAAATTCACCTAATCTAGTTTATTTTGCAAAATTGTAGTTATTCCTTTCCATTTTCTATAGCATTTTCCGAAAATTTTCTATACCATTTATTAAAACGCTTTACTTCTCATTAATTGTCTTGCGCAAAATTTGAAACATTAACCAAAACAGAAGTTCAACAAAAGAAGAGTAAAAAGTTATCTATACAATGCATTTGTAACTACAATCAAATAAGAAATTTAATTTTGGCCTTTGCTTAAACTGAATACCTGCCAATTTCAAGTTAACTTTATCCCAACTCAAAACTTTGAAACTTTTACACTCGGTAACTGTATTAAGCTATTTAAAAAGAATTACTTTGAAACAAATATAAAATAATATCAAAATTTTTACTAGTTACATTCAAGAATTGCTCAAATTAGTTACGTTTTTGATAACTCTATAAAAATATTTAAAAATTTGCGTGCACACTTGCTAGTAGTGTTGTAGCCTTAGAATTTATTAGATTGCTCAGTAGTTATACTACTCAATTTTCAATGCCTTTGTCTAGCGAATTTAAATAATTTTGAAAGATAAATTTATATTAAAATTCTTTCAGAGACAGTAACTGGGAGAAGATTTCGGAGATTCACGACTAAACTAAAACTGAATATACAAAGTAATTTATTAATAAAAGCCATAACATACACCAGGTTTAATATCTTATCGATTTCCGAAATATAAACATTTTAGACTTTTTTAGGACCTGTAACATCGCCGAATACATTATTGAAACGCTTGCCGTAGAGTTTGTCGAGACCGTTTTTGTAAAATTTTTCGAGACTTTTGCAACGACATTTGGCATGATCATAATTATTTATATCTACACTATCTACATTAAAATTCTGAAAATTAAAATAAAATTAAGACGATAAATAATAAAGCGGTGCAATAAATTATTCCAATATACAAAACTGGTTTATTTCTCCTTGTTTTCATAACTATTCTATTGCTCCTGGAATATTACCACTCTGCATTGAATACAATAAAGAGGGTTATGTGATAACACAAAATTCTGGATTTCGAGTTTTCGATGGAAACGCACTTTTCATATGAAAATTTACATAAAAGTTTACTTTGGCTATATCACGGATTAATTAAGCTTCATATATAATCAAGCACACACATAATAATAATATAAGTTTCATCTGATAAAGGGAGAAACCATATCTAATTTTTACAAAAAATCAGGTGTTAACAACATGGATATGAACCCGTAGCATAAAGTGAATGGACCTCCGCTAAGAATCAAAATTAAGTTTTTCTAGGTATGTTAACTAAAAGCTTGCCTGGCGTTCTTAAAATCTGAAAGAAGTCTTTAAATTTTCCATTATTTTAAAAGGGAACCAGTGTATTGCTTGCTTGAATCTAGATAAGAATAAAATTTTTGATCAGTCTTTAAATATTTCACGTCTTTATGTTCATGTTATTTCATTCTTTCGAAATATCAGTCTTATATATATATTGGTACATTTAATTTAAAGAAAGTTGAAAATTTACAACAAAGTTTAACGATTGTTCCCTTCTTCAAATTAAAAAAAAATTTAAATCTAATTACTCAATTTCGAGTTTCATAACGTTTAAATAATTTCATTCAGTTTTTATAAATATAGTCGTCATTTTTTAAATTTTAATTGCCACATCTTTTCAAAATTATCAGATCATCTATTGGTCTTTAAAAAGATGAAAGTGTAGTTTATTCCACCTACACGTTATTTAAATTATTTTAAATTTCTCATACCATTCTCAATATTAAATTAAAAGTATGTATTCATGCACTTTTCCTTGTAAACACCTACATACATGAACGATGAAAACACTATCGCATTTAATTTTTGTTTCTGATTACTCAATCTCATTTAAAATTTCAAATAGTTTAGCCAACAAAATCGTAAACGTGGAAATGAGTACAGATGCACATACATATTTGTAAATACAAAGGTACGTAAGAATAAGTATGTAGGTTAAATTGTACCTGTTTTAATTTTTTTTTAAACTTTCAAACGAATACCATTTAAAATAAAAAAAAATTATTAAATAATTAAAGAAAAAGAAAATAAATAGCATTCAAATGAACCCGCCTACAAAAAGACACGCTTTCTGGAATTAGATTGGCCATTCATGCATTGAAAATTGGCTCCACCCGGTTAACAACTTACAAAAAATTTATTTCTCATTCATTATTTTGTTTTTTAGTTTTCTTTATTAAATTGGCTGACATTTTTTTGTCTCTTCTTCTTTCATTAAAACCATAATATGTAAGTACGATGATGATCATTCATTATTAAAGAAAAAATGAGGACTAGAAAATGAGAAAAATGAGAAAAAAACCAATTTTATCTTGTGATGTGATCTTTGAATGGTTTCTTCATTTACCTGTGTAATAAATTTTTTATGGTGCGCTGCGCTTCTTTAAGAGTGAAAATGGATGAAATGATAAATGTGACGATAACGGTGTATTAAATGAATCTGAAAAGAAAAAATGAAACACCAACACAAATACTATTTTATAATTTCGTCTCATCATCTCATAAATATTTTATAATACAGAAGTACATTGCCGCCGTGTATGTATTTTCATATATGTAAGTAGGAATACAATTTCTTCATTTGCTTGTATTTTTTTCCATTAAATTCTCATACTCGCTCCTAAAGTGAGAACAAAGTTTGAACAAGGGATGTTTAAAGCGTTTCATAATTTTTTAAACTATTAATTTTTATTTTCAAGAAAGAATATATTTAAAAGAAATAATATATATATATATATATATGAATTATCACGCATGAATAGCCTGTAATAAAATTATGAAAGTTAAACTTTTAAATTGTGCACTTAATTTTGAATCTGCGGTCAAGGAAATTTGAGTAGGATAAATTGATGTCTATAAGGCACTGACTTTATTGGATTTTCAGTATTATTTCCCGGATAAAAGCAAATATATTGTGATTATCTAAGTACGTATACTAAAATCAAAAATTTTATAAAAATTTTAAATTATATAATATTGTTAATTAGGCATTAATTTATTGATGACACTTTATCAACGAAATTTTGTTATAAGCACATAATTAGAATCGTTCAAGTTTCTAATTCTGGCGGTAGTATTTGTACATCCATTTCACTTGCAACATCTTATTGAATATGGTTTTATTTCAAAGTATAAGAATTCGTATTTTTTTCTCAAATTCATAATTTATATTAAAAGATTGTACAAATATTTGTTTAGAGAATTTAAATGCCAGCATCACGATCTCTATATGTATTCATAAAATAACAAACACATGCAAATTAACAAACATATATGGGTATATTTCAATAAAATGTTGTTGTGCCTCAAACTATCGCTTATAAATTTTCAATCTAACACAATGACAATATTGTCCCAACCCAATTTACATTGATCATTCGGAAAACTTATATTGTGTATAGAGTATATTTATTTACAAACAAATCAGTTGAATCGTTTCGTGAGATTACTTTTGTTTTGAATTGAATAGCAGCCGCGCGTTTGGTATTGGTATATTGGGTACGCACTAAATTTTTTAAATTTAATTTTTTTTTTTGTATTGTTTTTTCATTTTCTTTCTAAAAATCGCGTATATTGTAACTTGATGTTAATGAATCTTTAAGTAATATTCAACGTTAAAATTTGAAAATAAGGAATGTGATTTTTTTTTTGGTTTTTTCAAAGTGTGTAAAGATTATATGAATGCATTTTAATGCTCTTGTTGAGGTATACAACAAAAAAGTTTAAAAGAAAATAATCATTACCGATGATCATTTTGTAATGATCGGTATATAGCAATAATAGCCCATCATCAGCAATTGAGGATGTAATGATGGGATGAGATTTCTAAAAAAAAAGAAAATAAATAAAATATAAAGAAAAATAAGTGAAAAAAAGAAAAATATTTTGTATATAAATATATACAGTTGAAAATATTATTTGTATATATGTATATATAGATGAAGCAAAAGAGATACGATTTTTTAGCATCATCAGATTCGGATAACTTAAAATAGCAACGGTTGACCTATGATCATTTAGTTTGAAATGACATTTATGTGCGTTCACACATGACTAAAACAATTTTACGGTAAAAACGAAAGAAGAAAGAAAATTGAAAATTATAATAATTTTTTTTGTTTTGTTTAATAAAATCAAAAAAAAAACAGAAAGTACTTTAACTAAAATGAAACAGTTCTGTAAGTGCATATTCTGTTTTAATGCAATTATTAAAAACTAATAAAGATTTTATAATAAAAAGTTGTTTGGCAAAATGAAAAGTGTTTTAGCATCAAACTTGAAAAATTACCAAAAAAAAATTAATTGATTTAAAATAAAAAAAATATAATTTTTGAAACGAATAAACATTAAGGCAATATTTTAAATTAATTTATAAAATTAATAAAAATTTTTTTAGTTTAAAGTTTTAATCTCGCAATTCGTTAATGGTTTTGTTTTATTGATAGCGGACGAAAGACTTTTTATATACCGGTAATTCATTTAATTGGTTTTTATTGCATATGAAGTTTTTACTTCAGCCATATTTTAAATTATATTTCAAATTAATAAATTAGAAAAATTGAAAAAAAAAATTATTTAAATTTGCCTATGTTAAAATTGTAAAAAATTTTTTTTATCCGAAAATATTAGAATTCGAACACTTTATTTGTTCATCAAGTATATTTCATAAGTTTATATGCTAACACAACTACATAATAAATACAATAAAAAATTGTGCAATAAAAATCGAAAACATTATCTGTAATATTATAATATTATAAATACAAAATTTATTCACATTGAAAATTATTTCATATTTTATACCCGCCGGGAATATGGACGCAGGTTAGTAAAAAATTATTCTTATTATCAAATATTCGTATTTTACAGTTTTAAATATTATTTAGTGCTATAGAAAAAACGTCTTATATAATTTTATGGCATAAAGAAAAGTCAAAACTGGATTGTGATGTTAAACTTTTCTTATGTAACACAAAAATGCTAGTTATTAATAAGGTTTGGCAAAATTTAAAAAAATTCATGAATTTTCTTATATCGTATATCTTTTAAGACAATGATTCAATAAAATTAATAACTTAATTTTTCCAGTATAACAAATAAACACTATTGTTTTAAACCGTAGCTTTGCTGTCAGCTTTTGTGTTTATAGCAAATTTTATATGTATATTTAATCAACATTTGCTTCTAAATGCCGAGTTCTTAAATACGGCGAATTATCGATCTTAGAAAATGAAATGAGAACTTCGAGAAAATAAATCATCTTAATTTTTTATCATTAGACTCTGTTATACTTTTCATGCCAATATAAACATATATACATACATTATATTATGCAAATTATTGATACAGAAACTAAATAGTTTAGTTTATTTATTTTATAGTTCTAGATTTATTTTGCAATGCGCACTACTAGATCTTTATATGTATGCAAAGGCAATTGATCTAAAGTCATATTTTGAATTATGGTTCTTAGTAGTAGTATAAAGGGGTGTCAAAATTGAGGGTCAATATTAAACGAGGACCCAAAGCACTAAAGGTGATGTTGGAACTGATTAAGTCCTTTCAAATAAGAAATAGCAAAAAACCCCTATAGTTCTCTTATTTTAAATTGACAAATTCAAATGTGTTTGTCATTTAATAAAAAAAGTTTATAATTGTTAAATTCAAAGTTAAAAATAAGTTTAATTTCATTATTTTTTCTAATCTAATTTTTAAAATTTCTATAATTTCTTAAGAAAAAATTTTGGTGTTAATTATAAAAAAAAAAAATTGCAAATTTTAACTATTTTTATGATTTTTATTTTTAAACCCTCTAATTTGTCTAATATGCTCTGTTACGACACATCAAACTGAAATTAAGATTGCTAAATTAATTAGTGTGTTTCTATCAGATTTTTTAATTTTAGTAACTTTTACTTTTTCTTGTTTTTTTATTACAATATTCTCTAAAGTTTAACATTAATCAAAAAATGTATTTGACAATTTTCTATTTTACGTAATTTTAATGCGTCCTACAATATTTACATAATATGAATCTTCAAAGCTCACAACATAAAATCATAATTACAATTGAGAAAGTAATTTATACATAGCATCTTTAACAATCGTTCCATTCACTGAACCCTAAATTTTGTTATAATATTTTATTGGTTTCTAGGAAAATAAAAAAAATTTAAACCTTGATATCAAATAGACTATGTTTCGCAAAGTCTATTTATAATTTTAGAGCAGAACTTATAACGTTAAGAAACTAGGATTATCACTCGTGTTCTAATAAAATTGTATAGTAATGGTAAATAATAATAGTAAAATATCGTGTCAATAGTTTATAATATGAGATTATTTTGTTATATAACTGAGCATAATATATACAAGCATTATTTTGACTGTTGCAATCGAAAGTTCGAAATTAAAATATAAATTGTGCAGAATATAATTTAAAGGCACATGTGCTCATGCATAAAATTTGTAATACATTCTTAGTTGTTATAATACAACAACTAAACTCTAAACTTTAAGTATTATCGTACTTAAATAGTATATCTACACTTGAGTGTTATACCTATACTTAAGTTATATGCGAACCGGTTTTAATTGACTTCCCAGCACTGCCTATCGTAATTAATATATAATTTTTTTAAGAATTTATTTACGTGATGGCTCTATATTAAATATAATAATTGGCGCAAACAATGTAAGTAGACAATTTTTAAACCGTATCAAAATTTTTACAAAGATTTCCATACAATTCCCAATAATTTAATGAATAGAAAAACAAAATTATATGACTAATTTTAAATAATATAAGCTTAATTTCGAAACAACAAAAAAAAAATAAAAAAGTAAATTTTTGAAATCGAAAAACATAATTTTAGTCGGAGTTCCGATTAATTAAGAAATTTTGGTTTAATACTTTTAATTTTTTTACGTGTTCGAATAACTCTTAGCAGAATATAGTGTAAGATGTTCTGGTGGATCTATAATAAAATATTGAATTAAAACAAGTATTTTAATTTTAGTGAAACCAATGAAAAATTTCTTATTTTAGTTTTGAATTAAGACAGCTTGAAGTGGTAAAAGAATCAAATGCATTTACGAGTACTTGTAGGATACATAAATATGTCATATATAAAGAATGACACACGATTTTAATTTTTGCCACTCGAAATTGAGAGACAAATTTATTACGCAGCGCAAGCCATATCATTCATTTAAGTATTCAATAAATTTAATAATCAACATTTCTAATACGTGGATCTTGCTATATGAAGTGCAAAATATACAAATTTTCCCTAAATATTAATTAGGCTCTATTACTTATCTTGTGTTAATTTAATATAAATAAGTGATCTTAAATATTTTATTCCTCTGTAAAAATAATTACATACGATACAATCAAAACTATTGTTGATGCTAATAATTATCAATGAACCGTGATTTACAAAAAAAAAACTGTAACGTTCTCCGTCTATAAGAAGCGTAATGATTAAATTAAATACATATATGAATTTAGTTTGAAATTTATTATATTCATGCTTATGTATGCACATACTGTATTAGACGAGTATTAAGTTACAATTTTATGTCTGCAACAAAAAAGAAAACATTTTGTACGAGCAAGATTTTAATAGTTTGCACCAATTTATATGATTGTACATCTAAATGTCTTAAACTCAAAATTATTTTGTATAAACTAGCTTGTTTATAATAACATACAGGCAAACATTCAGTTATGCATTTTATCTTGTACAGTGTGTAAATCAAGTGTAGATTGACGATTTCTAAAAAGAAATATTAAGTTTAAAAGAATAATTAAAAAATTTTAATTAAATTGGATTGATGTTTACAGTCTTCAGTTTCTTTTCGCTTTCGCACTTGGTATAAACGTACTTAAGATGCCATAAGACATTTTTCTATTTAAAATTTCATTGAGCTCTCGATTTTCAACGGTAGTTGTTTTGGACTATTTTAAACTTGAAAGCTCATTTCGTAGGTTATTTGCAGCAAAAATATAATTTGGAGTAAGTATTTCAACAGGTCCTTAACCACTGTGCCAACCACTTTCAAATATACTTTTGGTTTTACTTCCTTTTGACTTTATTCTTTTCTTTTAATTAGCATAGTTCATTACTTTTTTGTTTTAACAGATACTTAGCAAATTTTTTGATTATAATTGATTAAAAAAAAAAGTAAAAATGAGACGATGAAATAGGGCCCAGGTAACAAGATAACAGATGACTCAAAGAATTGTACTTAATTTCTTTTTTCTTAATTTGCATATCTTTTGCTGTTATCTAACATTCTATACATCTCAAAAGTTATAAATCATTTTCATTTAATACCGGAGCAAAAAAAAATATTAATGATAAGATTAAAAGCTTGTGCTAATCTTTCTAATGGAAATTTTCAAATGTGTATCCATACAATGTTTATTATTTTTTTTTTTAATAAATTTTATATTAAAAAAATGATTGCTTATATTTTTAATTTAAAAAAAAAACTTTTTTTTCCATAAATTTCATATTATGTAAACAAGTAAATGTTAAGCGCTTCATAGATTTTCATTTAGCATTAAATTACTTGTTTTGGTTGAAATCTGTGACTTTTTTTAATCACGCGTGACCCATTAAACTTTTTATTTAATAATAAGATTTGCAAGGAACAAATATTATTATAAATATATGTGTATAAATGTATGTGCACATTAATATGTCTTAATATTTTTATTACTTTAAATCTATCTCTTTATACACGCACATATACAAACACATAATTCTAATTTAAGTATAAAAATTATTGATGTTTAATAAAATAATATATTTTAAATATAAATATAAATTTTTGCTAATATTATTTTTAGATATTTTAAAAAGAATAGTTGAAATACTTATTCTAAAAATTAGTATTTAAAATAAAAGTGTAGTTTGATCAATCCATGGTTTTGTGGACGTATTGAACCATTATGATTTATTGCTTAAGCTTAAATAATGAAAATTGTGTTTTATTAGAGGAACAAATACTCCAATACAATTTTGTGGTATAATGTTGCTGCAATATTGCATATATTTATGTGTTTTATAGTAATATGTAGTTCTATTAGAAAGTTCTTAATTAACCTGAAAAGTTAATATGTAGTTGATTACTAACTTATTTATTTAAGGTATTAGGATTTACATCTTTGACAAAAAGTCAAAAGAAATTGTAATTCTATCCATAAGCAATGTTGAAGTTAAATAGTTATTTTGTAAAATTTTAAGAATAATGATTCGGAGAGATGAACAGGTAGAAAGAGGTTTCGTTTTGATTATATAATATTCTTATCGATATCTACGAACTGCCGTAATTCGAGATTTTTTCAAGTTGCCGTGTAGAAGAGTGTTAATGACAATAATTTCAAATACTTAAATTTTAAAGAAATAATATCATTTTAGATAGTAATAATTTAGAAAGTTAATAAAAATTTCGTTAATGACATTATGGTTTTAATAGATGAATGCGAAATTGTTAATTTGAGTTGAAAAAATAATATTTTTATTTTCTAATTTTAAGTAAATTTCACTTCAACATTGAAATATCTGTACCCGACAATATGAAATTTGTTTCTTGTATGAAAAACAATTTCATATTGTTTTCCTGTTCTTTACTATATATGGCAATTTCGTATCCAGGAAAATAAGTATTCTGCATTCTCACTTTTTATAAATTTGAATTCGTAACTTAAGACGAATGTGTTATAGCACAGAACAGGAGTTATATATAAATTATTTTATTAATATGTACATATGTACAATTATCTTTTTTCAGTAATTTTTATATAACCGGAT